CCATCTACCGGAACCAAATTCCTTGTATGTGTCTGCAGATATACTTGGCCAATAAACATGACTCTGATTCTGATTCTGATCACAAGCACAGAAGTTCATAATTAAATGGATAAATTTATTTTAGCTGTAAATTAACATGTGATTTTAATATATATGTTAACTATGTTTATAAGCTTGACAGGACAGAGTCTAAAAGCATCACCACTTTTGCTCTGTATGTAAGACTAAAACATTGGTTTTCTCAGTTGATATTTTGATGGTTTGAATGATTATTCACTTGGATCAGGAAACACATAGCAAACTCTTTTGCTATGTGTGAGACTGTAGGAATGTTATAGAACTATTTCTTGTCTTGTTTTGTTTAATTATAATTTGTGACACCTAATTCAAGATCTTTTTGTAAATTGGTTATGGGTTATCCCACAGATAAGATTTTCTTTGGCGGAGAATCTAGCTAGAAAATCATCAGTGATTAAAAGGATGAATAAAACAGTAATTCCAAAATTTTAGCAGAATAATCAGACTTATTCCACACGGTAGCCCAATCCTAAGAAAACAAAAAAACAACAACCAAAAAACAAAAAAACCCCCAAAAAAACAAATTAGATGTAATTCTTGACCGGACCTCAATGATCAAATTTAAACCCAGAGTCAATGGAGTTAATCTCAGTTTTTTCAACCTGAGTAAATAAGAGGTGGCTGTACTTTACTGTGTGAGGTTTGCAGAATGTAGGCGTGCACATTACTGTAGCTAGAGGCATTTTCCAAAATATTTGGAGCAACCAGTAATGTGGGTTGGTCTTGAAAATTATTGGTGGTTTACTTTTTCTGTTGCCCTGACACACTATAAAAACAATTACTTAATAATTGGAATTAACTTTTTTGACCAAGAAACAGATTGTAAACTCTTTTCTTAAAAGCAAATTCATTTCTCCGTGCATGAAATGGTGATTGGCCAAGTAAAAAAAAGGAAACAACATAAGTAACAATGGTAAACTCGCAAGCATGAAGTTGTCCGAGCGCCTGCTGCCAAGCCAAACAAACCAAACCGCTGGCTCATGCTCGGCGGTACCACTCTCTCCGATGCCGCTGCAGGGAAGTCGGACTCACCTGAGCGGCATCCGCGATCACGTCTCACCGGCTTAAAAATCTGCAATGGGTCCTGGGTTATTGTTGTTGTTGGAGTGTTCAGCTGCAGCCGTGTGTGTAGTAATAAGTCTTCTGTGGTATGTTTACAGAGGCCAACTGGGAAATTAATATTTTCAACACACAATTTATTTTGTCATAATAATACGCATAATATCATCATAGCCTATATAACCAGAACACTTTATATTATGCAGACTGTCTATGACTGTTGTAGGTGGTGAGCACTGTCAGTAAGCTAAAACAGATTTAAACCCATTGGAGAAACTTTTTAGGAGTTCCCCCAGGGCCATGGAGGTGTAAGAGTCACATCAGCAGGGGATCAGAACGTGTGATCATGACATGGTTCATATGGGGCATGCAGAAAAAGTTTAATAAACACTGTCAACAGGCAGACGCTTAGCGGGGACAAAAAAAGCCAAGAAAAAGTCTGGGTGCTGAAACATTTTGGCCCAATGTTACCTTGCAGTTTACAACAATACTAATTTAATGATTTATATTTGGACTATAACTGGAAATGTAGTAATACGGGAGTGACAGGAACACAATTTAAAAAGCAAATGTAAATGAAGAAGAAGGTTTGGCACAACAACAATAAACAATCTGTACCTGTAGGTGCTGAAGTGGTGAGACTTGTTGATGTAGTTGCATCAGTGCTGTTTGTGATTGTGAGGGAAGCAGTTGAAGTGAATGGAGTTATAGTAGTAGAGTTTCCGTCCGGCGGTGTATA